TCGGAGGTTTTTAAGACCCGGCTAGACAAAGCTTTGGCTGGATGATCTAGTTGGGGATGGTCCTACTTTGAGCAGGAGGTTGGACCTAAATGACCTCCTGAGGTCCCTTCCAACCCTAATTTTCTATGATTCTACAAGCTGCCATATGGGCTTGCTCAGAGACAAAAGCAGTATTCAGAGTACTGAATACAGATAGAATTTAAATGAATAATTAAAAAAAGCCAATTTGCGCTATTCTTAGAGTGTTGCATCACAATCTAATTGGTATGAAGTGTTTGTGATTAATGTCCTTCCTAATAACAGCTGAAGGACTACAAAATAATTCTAGCATGTCAACTCATCACAGTGCAATCACCCCTGCCCACTTTCCACAGTGTACTATTTCAATTTTCCCTTTCTCTTCCTCCAAAAGACAACATAAACCCATGAAATTATACAGCAGTGGCAGTATGATGCTACTTCATATGCTTGGCTGGTTTCTAAACACAGTTCATTTCTAAACTCTGTCCTTATCAGTTCAAACAATAGCCCCAAGAAAACAAAACCATAAAACACCCTGTTGCAATTCGATAATGTTACTCATCTCTGACCTAAGCTGTTTAGGGGACCCAGAAAAAAACCCCACAACATTTAGCAATACAGATTTTATACTTTCTTCTCTCTTATGCTGACCATATGTAACAATATCTCGCTGCACTTAAGTGCCTCAACCTGTACCACAGCCAGGGTGGTACCTGAACTGCCACAACTGGAGACAAACACTGAATTATTAGATTGGGTGGTTACTTCCTCCTAGTGAAGAGTGGCAAAACTTCCGTGGCGACACTGGATAAGCTGCTTCTGGCTCTGGCAGATGCAACACTAAACTGTTCTAATAGGGAAGGAGTAACTCTTACTCCTCAAAAGTGCACAAGGCAAACCCATAACTGTGGGAGCACACCAATGAAACAGATTAGCAGAGTTAAACCAGTATAACCACAAATGAAAACACAGGTTTAAAGTTCCAACAGTTCAACTTCTGGTTAAAGTGAAACAAAGCAGAAACATATAAAAGTTATAGCACTTTAAAATGATAGAGCTTTACAGATGTTCAAATATACCTATTTATGTGTCCATGCTCGTTGATAAAGACAACCATGAAGTTGGCTTGCAGGTTAACAGCTCCCATGTACAGGCAGAGGCATGGGCAACAGATGCCTCCCGAGTCTGGGGGGGCACCACATTGATGATGGGGGGGGGGGTCCCCAGCAACCAATCGCCAACCAGGGGAAGGGGGGTCAGGGGTCTCCCAACAGCCGATTACTGAGCCAGCAGCAAAACCGGAAGTGCACTTCCACTGGCACTTCCAGATTCACAGCTGGCGCTTCCAGGGGGTACACAGCCAATCTCAGGGGTGCACACAGACCCACATGCACCCCCTAAGCATCACCAATGGGCAGAGATATAGCAAGCTCCTGAAGTGTAGCAGCAACCAGGGCAGACTGTCAACCCATGGAGGGACAGGAGGAGTGCCTTTAACTGTATGACCACATACTTGCCTCCCTGCACCCTTGCTTCTTCATTCAGGGCAGAATGGACCAGCTCTGTTGACAGATATGGGGTTTTCAGCAAAGGAAATGTCAAACTGCAAGAATCCTGCCTCATTTGCTTAAATAATGGGAAAATAGATAGTGAATAGTTAGGAAGGCCAAAGCACAATTGGAGTTGCAGCTAGCAAGGGAAGTGAAGGGTTTCTACATGTATGTTGGTATCAAGAGGAGGATCAGCAAAAGCTAGGTCCTTTACTGAATGGGGGAAGCAACCTTGAGACATAGGATGCAGAAAAGGCTGAAGTGCTCAAGGCCTTTTTCACCTCAGTCTTCACAGGCAAGGTCAGCTCCCAGAATACTGCATTGGGTAGCACAGTTTGGGGAGGAGGTGGGCAGCCAACAGTGGCAAAAGAACAGGCTAGGGACTATTTGGCCGGGGGTCCAAAACAAGTGGTCGTTCGTCAGGGACGCGATCCTTGGAGCACAAAGGTAGTCCATTCCAGGCTACACGAAAGGTAGGGAAAGGGCTGGGAGACCCCCATTGGCTCAAAGGGAAAGTCATGGACCTCCTGGAATTGAAAAGAGAAACTTACAAGGGATGGAAGTTGGGAAATACCACAAAGAAAAAGAACACAGCAATAGCCTGCACCTGTAGGGAGAAGATGAGAAAAGCAAAGGTGAAAACCAAATTCATACTGGCAACAAGAACAATAAAAAGTCCTTCTTCTGATACATAGGAAGTCGGAGAAAAAAAAATAAGGGAAACACTGGACCCCTAATGAACAAAATGGGACAGCTGTCAACTGACACCCAGGAGAAATCCAAACTCCTAAACGATTACTTCACGTCAGTATTCCACCAGTTCAAGGGTGCTACCCTGCTTGACAGGATACAGAATGATCAAGGTGGGGGTGATCATCCACCAACAGTTGGCAAAGATCTCGTGAGGAAACATCTAGAGAGGCTGGACATCTACAAGTCAGCAGGCCCGTATAAACTGCACCCAAGAGTGCTGAAAGAATTGGCCGACATCATTGCACAACCCATGGCAAAACTATTTGAGAATCTGTGTTGCTCGGCAGAGGTTCCGGAAGACTGGAAGAGGGCCAATGTGGCGCCTACCTACAAGAAGGGAAGGAAGGAGGATCCAGAGAATTACAGACCAATCAGTTTGACCTCAATCCCTGGAGAAATCCTGGAAAAAAAAATATCAAAGAATCCATTAGCAATAGGCTAACAGAAGGCAATATTCTAATCGATAGTCAACATTAGACCTGCGTGACTAGGGAAGCATTCAATTCAGATTCGGCTGACTTGGAGAACAGTGATTCGATTCGGAGATTCGAATCACTGTTCCCGTCTGATTTGGCCAAATCAAAATTGGAGGTTCAATGCTGATTCAGAGATTTGGATTGGCCAGGAAGAGGCAGGCACAGCTGGGTGGCTGGAGGTTCTCCCACGGCTCCTCCAGCTGTGCCTGCCTCTCCCTGAGTGGGGGGAGCCGTGGGAGAAACCCCCATGGCTGGCCTGTGTGCGCCAGGCAGGGGGAGAGGGGAAGGGGGCGATCTCTGCTGCCCCCCACTGCCCCACGGGACTCTGCCATGAGCCCTCAGAGGCCCTGATCACCGCTGACAGAGCCAGTGAATGCAGGGCTTTTAAAAAAAAGTCAAGAGAAACCCCCATGGCTGCCCTGCCCAGACGCATCGCCCACCCAGTCCAGCCAGCTTGAGGGGGTACTCGACACAGGCATGGCTCACTCCGGGCGACAGCAGGGCATAGCCCCCTCTCCCAGCACTGCCACGCCCACATCAGCGCTGGGAGCAGAGACTCTCTCCCACCGTGGCTTGCCAACCAGCGCAGGGGGGAGGCACTGCTGCCACTTGCCAGCCAGTGGCTGGGGGGCATGTGGGATGCGGGCGCAGTAGTGCTCAGAGCAGGGGCTATGCCCTGTTGCTGCTTGCCAGCCGGCATGGACTAAGGGGGGCACAGAGTACAGATGCAGCAGCACTGAGACCCGGGGCTATGCCCTGATGCCGCTTGTCCCCTTCCGCCCGAAGCAAGCTGCACCAACATCCTGCCTCCCCTGCCCCTCCCTGTGGCTGGGCAGGCAGCAGCAGGGCAGAGCCCCTGCTCCCAGTGCTGCTACACCTGCATCCTGCACCTCTGGCACCCTCCTCCCCGAGTAATACACACACACACCCCCCCGCTGCCCCGGCTGGGCAGCTTGTCCCAGCCCCAGCCCCAGCCCCAATCCCTCCCTCTCCCACGCCCCTTCCCTCCCCCAACTCCAACAGATTTACCAGCTGGAGGCAGCTGTCTCAGCTGCCTGTTTAATCTATGGCCAAATCTCTGAAGCAGCTGAATCTTTTCAGAATCGATTTGGATAATTCAAATCAATTCGGAGCTTTTAACTGGTCTGCTGATTTAATTCAGTCTCACAGATTTGGTCCCCAAATAGGGCCAGATTTCCTCCTAATTGAATCAGCTACCCAAGCTTCATGCAGCCCTAGCCAACATGCTTCGTTACAGGCGGGTCATGCCTGACCAACCTCATTTCCTTCTATAATCAGATAACATGCCACCTGGATAAGGGAGATGAGGTTGCCGTAATATATTTGGACTTCAAAAAAGCCTTTGACTTGGTCTCCCACGACATGCTCGTGGTAAAATTGGAGAACTGCAGCCTCAATAACCATATGGTCCAGTGGCTAGGAAACTGGCTCTGAGATAGGACCCAGTTCCATCTATTATTACTCTCCAAACAACATGGTGCTTGGTGAACACTAGTATCCCTTAGGGTTAGTTACTCAGACCAGTACTTTTTAACATATTCATTAATGATTTGTACTCGGATGGACTGGTAAAGTTCGCAGATGACACCAAATTATGGGGGACTGCGGTCATGGCTGAGATTAGACTGGGGATACAGGCTGACTTGCACAGGCTCACAAGGTGGGTGGACCAAAACTTGATGATGTTCAACACCGGGAAGTGCAAGATGCTTCACCTGAAGCTAAACAACCCGCAACATACTTGGAGGCTGGGCAGTGCTACACTTACTAGCATCACAACTAAAAGAGACCGGGGGGGTCTTAACAGGCGGTATAATGTGATGCCGTAGCTGGCAAAGCAAACAAAACACTGGTATGCATCTAACGATGCATCTCAAACAAAACTAGATGTCATCCTCCCGCTTTACTCTGCTTTGGTGAGGCCATAACTAGAGTAATGTGTCCAGTTATGGGGTGGCAGCCACATGGTGGTGGCTGCAGCTACCGGTAACCACCCCCTCTCCTTCCCTCCCTGACAGCTGTTGTTGGGGGGTGGAGTGGGGGTGGCTCTGG